TGGTGTCAAGTTGCAGTGGGGGAGGTCTAGGTTGGATATTAGGAAATACTATTTCACTAGGAGGGTGGTGAAGCACTGGAATGGGTTACCTAGGGAGGTGGTGGAATCTCCTTCCTTGGAGGTTTTTAAGGCCCGGCTTGACAAAGCCCTGGCTGGGATGATTTAGTTGGGAATTGGTCCTGCTTTGAGCAGGGGGTTGGACTAGATGACCTCCTGAGGTCCCTTCCAACCCTGATATTCTGTGAGTCTATGAAATACACAGCACCAATTAGTTATGTACCTGAAAAAGAAAATCTTTCACTATCTTCGGTAAAGGTTCATCTCTGTCATGTCAGCATATCATGTACCTGTGTGGGGGGGAAATCATTGTTCACTAATGATGCGGTTACGAGGTTCATTAAAGGTCAAAATAATTTATACTCTCCAGTAAGATACAATATGCCATCTTGGGATTTAAACATAGTGCTCTCACAATTGATAAGACCTCCCTTTGAGCCTTCAGGAAACTAATTTATTTAATTTGTCTATTAAAAGTGTTTTTAATAGCCATTATCTCTGCAAGATATGTAAGTTAACTACATTTGTTAATGACTGATCTGCCATTTACTGTTTTTCATAAAGACAGGATAGTTCCTCATACACACGCAAAGATTTTACAAAACCTCATATAAACTAATCTATAATTTTACCGGGCTTTTCCCCTCAGCCCCATACTCGTGAGGGCAAAGCTATGCAACATACCCTGGATGTTTAGACAGGACTAAACAATTTAGACAAAAATTGTTTATTGCTTATGAAAGAAAGAACCATGGAAAAGCTATTTCTGTACAATTGTATATTCAAATAGCTTATGAAGTGGAAGGGTTGTTCCTTCCCCAGGGAGTTAGAACACATTCTGCTAGGTGGAAAGCAGCTTGTGTGGCTTTTTTCTTTCTAAACACAGTCCTCTAGTAGAAAAAAGTAGAGCTGCAACAAGGAGTTCTGTTCATGCATTAGTAAAGACTACTCCTTAGATTTAGAATCTAGATCTGATGCAAGGTTTGGCAAAGCAATTCTGCAGTCCTTATTGAATTAGAACTCTGTGGTCTGACTATCCAGGGTGAGTCTACTGCTTATTAATCTATGCCATGAGTGGGAATCTGCAGAGGACATTTGAAGGCTAAATTAATATTACTTACCAGTAAACAAGGTTCTCTGAGATGGACTCTCCAAGATTCTCCACTACCTCAGAGTCGTACTTACCAAAAGTGCTTAAGATCAAGGAGGAAGGAACTGAGGCAGTTGGAGCGCCACACCCCTTTTATACCCTTGTCCTGGAATGCTCAAGGGTCACTGAAGGAAGTGATGAGGGAGGCATGTGAGCGCTCCAGCAGTGACTGCTTGCAGCCTTAAGGGTAGAATTCTAGCAGCGTTCAAGATCAGAGCATCCCATGAGTGTGAATATGCAGA